AACATTTATTTCTTGTCTTGTTGATAACAGCCATTCTAAGAGGTATGAGGTAATATCTCACTGGAGTTTTGATTTGCATTTCCCTATTAGCTAGTGAAGTTAAGCATCTTTGTGTATATCTGTTGGCCGTTTGTATGTCTTCTTCAAAGCAGTGTCTGTTGAAGTCCTTTGCCGATTTTTATTTTATTATTATTATCATTATTATCATTATTTTAAAATATATCTTTATTGATTTCACAGAGAGGAAGGGAGAGGGAGAGAGAGATAGAAACATCAATGATGAGAGAGTCGTCATTGATTGGCTGCCTTCTGCAGGCCCCTGACCAGGGATTGAGCCCACAGCGTGGGCATATGACCTGACCGGGAATCAAACCAAGATCTCCTGGATCCTATGTCCATGTTCAACCACTGAGCCATGCCCTGCTGGGCTATTTTATTATTTTTTTTAATTAAATCTTTATTGTTGAAAGTATTACAGGTAGAAAATAAAGAAAAAAAAGCAACACCTTTGCTCATTTAGAAAATACATACATACATACATACATACATACATACATACATACATACATATATATATTATTGTGGGTTTTTAACATATTATTGTTGACATTATCACAAATATCCCCCATTCCCCACCCCACCTTTCCCCCTTTCCTCGGCCCCTACATCCCCCAAGGTTACATATTCTAAAGCTTGTTGAAGTAAGTGCAGAGTTGGTTACTGTAACTGTGGCTGAAATAACAGATGAGGCTGAGAGAATTGAAAATGGTGAACAAGAAGTGTCTCATATAGTTCTCAAGGGAGAAGTGCTCATAACAATGGTCTCATTGAATCAGCAATTGAGTCCACCACCTGGACATTTCACAGTTCTTATGAGAACCACTAGACAAAGAGCAGGATTGCTCTTCTGCCCAGGGTGGTGTCATTGATTACCAGGGGACCTGAGTTGCCCTATACAACTGGAGCAGGGAGCACCATGTCTGAAACTCTGGGGTATTCCTTGGGTGCCACTTAGTATTGTCATGTCTAATAATAAAAGTTAATACAACTGTAGCAATACAATAAAGGCGGATCAATGAGGATGTGGATTCCCTAGAAATGAAGGTTTGCATAACATCACTATGTAAAGAACCCCATCCAGCTGAGATGATGGCCAAGGAGAACATGGAATGGTGGTGAAAGGAGTTAGTGTCAACCATGGTCTGGGATCAACTGCAACATAAATAAGCTCTGGAGACTAGGAGTTAATCTGACACATATGTAGAGTAGCAGAGATGATGGTGCTGGCGGGTGTATTAAGGTTTTCTTAGAGAGACAAGGAGATGGAAGTACCTCACTGAAACTCAAACTAGATTTCCTTTTTGATCTTGGGCTGAGGGAGATTGAACATGATATGGGAGAGCTTATCTTTTCTCTTATTCCAGTCTTTTCCATATACCTGCGTATGGTTGGGCTATAGAGGTCCAATCTTCCTTAGCTGCAGATGTATCTCTCCCCTTGGGTATGTTTATGGAGAATTAGATTGTAGTGAAAAATTCTACCACAGCGAGAATCTTTGAAAAATATGTGTCTTTCATGGCACTCTGCTGAAAGAACACTGATTGCTTTGAATTGTCAACCAGATAAAGCCTCCTACACTCTTAAGATATTTTGGGATATTTACACTCTAGTTCCTGCTAGTTTTTATGGCTTCTCAAACCATTTTCCTTCACCTCTGAAAATGTAGGCTCCAGCCCCACAGGACTACTGTCCATTAAACAGATAGTGTTGAATCCTCTATACGTGAGCTCCTCTCCACCTTGCCTTCCCCCAAAGTATAGTCAGGTGTTGTCAGTGACTATAACCCATCACTGTTCCAGGACTCTGAGGGCATTGTCCCAGAGCAGAACTGGGTGATTACTTTGACTCTAATGAGTTCCATCAGGACCTAGATTCCTCTGGGATCGACAATCCTTTTGGCCTAAGGATGTGTAGAATGGGAGATGTGAGAAAGGATGTTGCAGGTAGAGGTGACAACTATGGAGGCTGTTACTTCACATGCCTTAGTGAATTAAGAAGGGCAGGTTATCTGGCCAGGGTCTTGGAATCACCCTCAGACAGACTGGGTAAGTTGAGCAGGGGGTGAATGAGTTGGTTTCTTAGGGCCCTACCACTCAGAGGGTCTTAATTTCCCAGGTTGTGTGATGTTCTTCTGGGGAGCTTTCAGGTCTGATGACCCTCTTCTTCTCCACCTCTCAGCTCCCCAATGCTTCCCCAAAGTCTAAAATATTTTGATAAATGTCCTCCAGTTAAAATATTTTAAAAAGTAATATCATTCATAAATATTACTTCCTGTGGAATGTAGTCCCTCAACATAATACAATTTTAACATAATGACAGCTTCTGAGGTAGGCTTCAATGCAATAGCTCTAGTCCTTGCTTTATTTTAGAATCACCTTGAGCTTTAAAAACCTTGACAGGACCTCTTGTCCGATACTGTGATTAAATGTGTTTTAGGGAGACCAGTGATCTTTCTTTCTAAGAGCATCATATGTACTTGCAGCTCACTGTATCATCTGTGGACAAAGAGGATGGGCATCACCAGAGTGTTAATTTGAAAAGTAGCTGCTTTCCTACTAAATCAGAATCTGTGTTTTACTAGAACTCCTGAGTGATTTGCATGGACATTAATTTCAGAAGCACTGCCCTAGGTGATGTTTATGTGCCATCCAAGTTGAGAAGACTGACTTAACAGGTGAAGATGAAAGAGAGGCTCACTGCATCATCAGTGGTACCATCTGCAAGTTCTGTCTCTTGTTTATCATCTCCAGTCATACTATTGTCACAAGAGTCAGGTCCCATTCATTTACCTGGGAAACAAAATTCAGAGAAATCAGGTGTGTGATTTTCCCTGGATGTTATTCTCCACTGGATTGTCAGTGCATAGTGTCCAAGTGTAAAGACTGTTCATGTGGGCTGATCAGGCAGCATCAGGGGGTGAAAATCCCAGGAACTGGGCTCAGTTATGTCCTTATTGAAGGGGCTCCCCACATCTCCTAGTGCTTCCCCTGTACTTTCTTTGTCTACTTTGAAGCACACTAAGGTGTTCCCTAGGGTGTTCCAGAGTAATGTAACCAATAGGAGATTATCTATCTACCTATCTACCTACCTATCTACATGGCTGTATATTTCTATTATCTTTATCATCTGTATTAGTGACAAGAGTAGTAAATATGAGGTATCCTAACATTTTCCATGGTCACAAAATTACATTCAAAAATGCTATAATAAAGTTTCCTATTTAGTGTAAATGGTTGATGTTAGAGACTTCTTGCTCTGGGATAATTTAGTACAAGCAGAGACTCTTACTTGAAAGGACTTCTGCTGCCTTTAAAGTTGAAGGAATGCATGTCTCAGCCTGAAGTCCAACCAATAAATATGAGACATCAGCTACAGAGAGCACTGTGTCAGGTGCAGTCATGAGCAGGCATGGCCTTTCCTGTATGGATCTCACCACCAGGTAGGGAAGACAGCTATCAACAAATACTTGCAGTTGCATTGAGTGCTATGGGGACAAGCACACTGTGCTGTGTTATACAGCTGTGGTCCTCACCTGGTCTGGGGAGTCAGGGAAGGTTTAGCTGTGTAAGGGGCATATAACATGCCTGGAAAATAAGTGAGGGAAGCCAGGTGAAGAGCAAGCAGAGGGACAAAGATATTAGGTAAGAGGAACAGCAAGTGCAAAAAGCTGGAGGCAAGAACTTGTGACACTGAAGACCAACACTGCTGGGCAGAGGAATGTGAGTGCACTTGTGCAGCCAGATGAAGCTGTGATGGGAGAAAGGGCCAGGTTGTGAGCACTTTTTAACTTAAATATGGTTGGTATAAAGCATTATATTATTTTCAGGTGTAGAATATAGTGATTTGACATTTGTATACCTTACAATGTGATCACCACACTACGCGTAGTAAGCACCCATCACCATGCACAGTTATCCCAATATTATTGGCTATATTCCCCTTTACTGGATGGGTGAAAAAGATGAAGCACTTTTTTAAAAAGGAATTTTGCCTTTATCTTAAAAACAATAAGGACCCATGAAGACTTTCGGGGGAATGATGATTAGCTTTTCATCTTGGAACGCCACAGTGAGACTGAAAGATGCTGAAGGAGAAAGGTTCCCGGGTGGAAGCAAGGGTATGAATTAAGAAGCTGTCTCAAAAGTATAAGCAAGATGTGAGGTCAGTTGGTTCTGGGAAGTGAAAGTTGAGATAAGGAATGGATGAGTGAGAATTGAGGGGCAGAATCTATCGGGCTTGTTGACGGACTGGATGTTGATGGTGAGAGGAAGGTGGGAATGAAAGAAAATCCTCAAGTTTATGACTGGAGAGCCTGGGGGTCTTCTAATGAGATGTAGGAATAGAGTAGGAGGAGACTGGAAGAGGGGCAGGGTGAGATCATGATTTTATTTTGGGATCTTTTGAGCTAGAAATGCCTGTGATACATCCAGGGGAAGGTAATCATTAAGCAAGTGAGTATACTCTTTTATAGGTTAGAGAGACATCTAGATCTGAGGTTTAAATAGTAATTGAAGCCTTTAAAGTACATAAGTTTATCCTGGTAACATGTAGGGTTATAAGGGAACAGTATTTAGGTAAGATCCCTGAGGAACATCATCATGTAAAGTTTTGAATGAGTAGGAGACAGTTATAGTGACTGAGGCAGTCTGGCCAGGCAGATATGAGGAAAACGGACACATTATGTGTCACAGACAGTAATGGATGACAGTGTTTTAGAAAAGTTGGAACATTATTATGTGTTAAAGAGACGTAACAAATAAGTCATTTTCAACCATAGAGGTTCTGATGATAGAGATTTGGAGTATAGAGATTGTGAAAGGTGATATAAAGCATTTTTTTGTAGAGTGCCTAAAACATCATGTATCATAGAAATTTGTTCACTTGTAAATTCAGGTTTTAATGGACACTATTATTTCTTCCTAAAGATACCAGAGACAGGAATGGCAGGAAAAAATCAAACTGTCATCACAGAGTTCCTTCTTCTGGGCCTTCCCATCGAGTCGGAGCAGAAAAACCTGTTCTATGCCCTCTTCCTGGCCATGTATCTTACCACCATCCTGGGGAATCTTCTCATAATTTTCGTGATTCGCCTGGACTCCCACCTCCACATGCCCATGTATTTGTTTCTCAGCAATTTGTCTTTCTCTGACCTCTGCTTTTCCTCGGTCACAATGCCCAAGTTGCTGCACAACATGCAGAGCCAGGACCCATCCATCCCCTATGCAGGCTGCCTCACCCAGATGTACTTCTTCCTGTTCTTTGGAGACCTGGAGAGCTTCCTCCTGGTGGCCATGGCCTATGACCGCTACGTGGCCATCTGCTTCCCCCTGCACTACACCACCATCATGAGCCCCAAGCTCTGTCTGTCCCTGGTGGCGCTGTCCTGGGTGCTGACCACGTTCCATGCCATGTTGCACACTCTGCTCATGGCCAGGTTGTGTTTTTGTGCCGAAAACAAGATCCCCCACTTTTTCTGTGACCTGTCTGCTCTGCTGAAGCTGTCCTGCTCGGACACTCGGGTTAATGACTTGGTGATATTTACCGTCGGGGGACTCATTGTTGTCATTCCGTTCCTTCTCATCATCACGTCTTATGTGCGAATTGTGTCTTCCATCCTCAAGGTCCCTTCCGCTAGAGGCATCCACAAGGCCTTCTCCACCTGTGGCTCCCACCTGTCTGTGGTGTCACTGTTCTTTGGGACGATTATTGGTCTCTATTTATGCCCGTCAGCTGATAATTCTACTGTGAAGGAGACGGTCATGGCTGTGATGTACACGGTGGTCACACCCATGCTGAACCCCTTCATCTACAGCCTGAGGAACAGAGACATGAAGGGAGCCCTGGCAAGAGTCTTTTGTAAAAAGATATTTTCTTGTGGCCTATGATTGTAACACTTGAGACTTTTACATAATTTTATTCTGTAGATATATTAATATTGGATTATTATTCCAGATATTTTTCCTCAGCATGTTAACTTCAGTTAAAATGTCATTCTACACAATCGTTCAATATGTAAAAGAGATAAATTTGAACTGCACAGGTGAACTAGGTTAGGACGTCTTTGTGAAGTCTTTGTCTTCCCCAGGGGACCTTGGAAAACTGTAGTTTAAGAAGCACGATTTTAAATGATCTTCATGTCTTACATTCTGAACTAATTTGTTACAGGATATTACTTTTAAAATCAGAACTCTGCTTTGATTGTGGTATCATTTAAAAACAATTCTGTATAATCTTAGGTCAATACTAAAGAAGATCCAAATATATCAACCTTCCAGCCTCCCTCTAAATGCTTTCCACATACCTCTCCCTGAACAAGTTTATCTGTTAACCATTTTCCCCCTCTGACTTATTTTCATGTCTAGCTTGTGTTTTCCAACCTGGAATTGATTTTTCTAACCCTTTTACTACAAGAGGGGCCCTAAAATTTATTTCTCTCGGAATGGGGAAAGGAGGTAGTAGCTTGTATACAAATTAATAGTGGAAACATGGTTCTCTTCTGTTTAGTAGTTTGAAAGTCATAAAAGAACTTTATATCTATATTCTTATTCTACCCTTATGACAATCCTAAGGAAGTATAATATATATTATCACTATTTCAAAGACTGAAAAATATGGCATTCAATTACTTGCCAAGTCACACAGTGCGTCAACTCTTGAGTCTAGTCTGGGATCTATGTAAGATCTCAGGCTATGCGATTCTATGGGGTCTCTCCATTTTCTTCAACTTCAATGAGAAGGGGAGCAGGAGATCTGCAATAGTGTCAACAATTTAAACGAAACAAAACAAAAATCTTTTAGCTCCATTTGTGGCCTGGACCAGGTTTCCAAACTTGGTCCCATTGTACCCTTAGTAGTTCCCTCTGAGTGATGGCATCCAAACTGGCCACTTTAATCTTCTTGTATGTTCTGGTGACCTCCACATCTCTAGCTGAAGCCCGGACCTTTCTGTAGAATGGTATCAGTTCTTATTCTCATCTGCTCAGTGGACATCTCCACTTGAGGGTCTATGAGCAGTTCAATCTCAACATGCACAACACTGAGCCCTTTATGTGCCTCCAAGTCTTCTCTTTGACCTTTATTCTATACTTTAATTTTTTAAATTAAATGTACTGGGGTGACATCAGTTAATAGGATCATATAGGTTTCAAGTGTACATTTCTATGATATGTGATTTATATATTACATTGTGTGTCTACCACCCAAAGTCAAATTATCCTCCATCACCAAACATTTGACCCCCTTTACCCTTCACCAGTTCCCCCTTTGGTTGAATAATGCTGCAATGAACATAGGGGTACATATATCTTTGCAAAAAAATGTTTTCTAGTTTCTCGAGTAGATACCCAGGAGAGAAAGTGCTGGGTCATATGATAATTCTATTTTTAAGTTTTTGAGGAACTGCCAGACCATTTTCCATAGTGGCTGTACCAGTCTACATTCCCACCAGCAGTGAACAAGGGTTCCCTTTTCTCCACAGCCTCTCCAACACTTGTTATTACTTGTCTTGTTGATAATAGCCATTCTAACAGGTGTGAGGTGGTATCTCATTGTAGTTTTGATTTGCATTTCCCTAATAGCTAGTGAAGTTGAGCATCTTTTCATATATCTGTTGGCCATTTGTATGTCTTCTTGGGAGAGGTGTCTGTTCATGTCCTCTGCTCATTTTTCAATTGGATTGTTTGTTTGTTTGGTGTTGAGTTGTATGAGTTCTTTATATATTTTGGATATTTAACCTTTTATTGGAGCTGTTGTTTCCAAACATCATCTCTCATTCTATTGGTTGCTTTTTTGTTCTGCTCTTGGTTTCTTTTGCTGTGCAGAAGCTTTTTGGTTTGACCCAGTTCCATTCATTTCTTTTTGCCTTTACTTCTTTTGAGCCATGTGGGATAATTTTCAGACATCAAGACACATAGCCTGTAAATTCAGCATTCAGAATCTCCTAAAAAAACAAAATAGATCCAAAGACATGGAAGCATGCAGCAGACTGACAAATATCAGAGGGAAGGGGTGAGGTGCAGGAAGAGACTAACTAAAGAACTCATATGCATATATGCATAGCCCCTGGTCACAGACAACAGTGCAGCTAAGGCCTGGGAGGGGGCAGGAGTGGGGAGGAGGGAGTCGATGGGGGGAAAAAGAGGACATCTGTAATACTTTCAACAATAAAGATAACTTTAAAAAAAAAAAGAACATTCTCACCCGGCTGTGCGTGGCTCAGCAGTTGAGTATCAACCTAGAATCCAGGAGATTGGGATTCGATTCCCAGTTAGGGCACATGCCTGGGTTGTGGGCTCGACCCCCAGCAAGGGGCGTGCAGGAGGCAGTCGATCAATGACTCTCTCATCATTGATGTTTCTATCTCTCTCTCTCCCCCTCCCTTCCTTTTTCTGAAATCAATAAGGATATATTTTTTAAAAATTATTAAAATAAAATAAAAAATAAAAATAACATTCTTATACATAATTACAATACTATTATTGCAACCAAAAGATTAACATTACTACACATATATTTAATATAGGATCTATACTCAAATTTCCCCAATGATGAAGTCTTCTTTATATGAGAGATTTGTTAACATATAACTTACATATGAATACCACACTATTCATCCATTTAAAGTATAAAATTAAGTAGTTTTTTGTATATTTACAGAGTTGTGCAACCATCACCATAGTCAATGTTAGAACATTTCATTACCACCAGAGAAATCCCATGCCCATGAACAATCACTACCCATTTCCCTCCAGCAGTCACCAATCTGTCTCTATGGATTTTCCTATTCTTGAAATTTCAAATAAATAGAGTCATATAACATGTGGGTTTTGTTACTAACTTCTTTCAATCAGCATAATGTTTTCATCATGTATTGTAACATGTATCAGTACGTCATTTATTTTTAGAGCTGAATAATATTCCATCGTATGGCTGCATCCTGCATGTGATGTATGCGGCCATCAGTTGATGGAGGTTTGCTCTCTGGGCCTATCGTGAATAGTGCTGCTATGAACATTCACGTACAAGCATTTGAGTGCCTCAGGCTTTTCAGGTACATACCTAAGAGTGGAATTGCCCAGCAATGTGGTGATTCTCTGTTTAACTTTCCGAGGGATCACTGAACTGTATCACTCACCTTTCCCCTCTCCCAGTGACCCGGGGGGCGCCCCCTGCCCTCCCCCCAGCAGCACACCAGCCTCAGCTTCCTGAGCAGTGTGAAAAGCTCCAGCTCTCTCTCCTCCGGCTTTTCCATATGCTATTCCTTCTCTCTGGACACTTTCCTTCTTTCCTACAAGACTCCTCAGATTCCACTTAAACTTTATTAAAAATAAAAAAAGAGGGTGTTTTGCCTTCTACAGCAGGCATGGGCCCCGCGTTCACTCGGTCTCCTGCCGCCTTCTTGGTTCCACGTGCCCTGCACAAAATGCCCAGCGACGCTGCAGAAGACGCTGCAGAAACAGGCCCTGCTGCAGAGCAGGAGCTGCCACAGCCCCAGGCTCAGGCAGGGTCCGGAACCGACTCTGACACCTTGACACCGACGAAGCGGCGCCAGAGCCGGAGAAACAAGATTCCGCACAGGCCACCGTGCAACGAGCCCAGCTGGGGCAGCAGCTGAAGTCGAGGCAGAACCAGGCAGTAAAGCAGAACAGAGCCGAGTGCAAAGGAGGCCTGAAGGCTGTGTCCAGGCTGGGTCTTTAACAGCTTACAGGGGTTACTAGCGTCACTATCCGGAAATCTAAGAATATTCTCTTTGTCATCACAAAACCAGGTGTCTACAAGAGCCAAGCTTCAGGTGCCTATATAACTTCTGGGGAAGCCAAGGCTGAGGATTTGTCCCAGCGAGCACCGCTGGCGGCTGCTGAGACTCAGTTCAAGCTGCAGCAGGTCCCAGACATTCAGACACAGGCTCCAGCTGGGCGAGAGCGGGGTGAAGACAAAGAGGCTGGTGACGCAGAAGCAGAAGTCAGGGACCTAGAGCTGGTCAAGTCACGAGGAGATGTGTCCAGAGCAAAGACCATCTGAGCTCTGAAGAGCAGGGAAGAGACTGTAAATGCTACTAGGAAGTTAACAATGTCACCATCTGACAAAGGAGGAGCTCTTGGTGGTGTTTCAAAAGAGTGCCCCAGCTTGGTTTGAAACGTGTGCTGTTTCTATTATTAATAAAGTCACAGCTTCTCGTGGGATGGAAAAAAGTGTCTGGCCCGCTGCATGAGGTTAGGTGTCCTTGATATGTACTCTCGTCCCATCCTGCATTTCCTCTCTGACAGCGTTTGTAATGCTTGGTGGTAGCTTATCTAGTCGCCGCGTCTGCCAGCTGGACTGTAAGCTGAGGGCAGGGACCTACCGACCGCACCATGGTTTTCCCACAGCATGCGGCTCAGTGCCTTGCGCAGGGTAGTTACTCGGTAGATATTTCTTGAAGGAATGCATTAATGAACTAATGGATCAAGCATTTCCTGGGTGAATTGATCAACATTGCTTGCTATCATGGGGCTTACATCCAGGTGAGGAGAGATGATTGGTATATATAGAAGCAACCATTGGACAGCATGAAACAGTGGTGACCAAGTGCTACAGTATTTGGTTCTGAAAACTGTTGTAGGAGGCCAGATACCGCAGAAGATGGGGCAGGGCGATGTTAGCATGGGCTGTGATGGTCAGGGAAAGCTTCCCCGAGAAGGCCAGACTTGGGGTGAATCCAGAATTCTGTCTCTGGACACGGTTTATTCAGAAACGTGCAGGAGGGAGGCGGAGTGGGGGGCAAGCACCAAGTTTGTTACTAATGAGTTTCTTTGGGACCCGGGGATCCCAGGGGTCAGGCCAATGTAGAAGAGACGAGTCAAAACACAACGGCAGGGACTCCTGCTGGAAATGCAAGGCGTGGAAG